TAAAAGTATGGTTTTTACGCAATTCGAAAAATTTATTGAAATTTGGTTGCGCACATTTAGACCCTATTTATTAGAAAATAAAATTTTGCGATTCGATTATAAAGTGCATCCCTCTATACGTCGAGCTCTTTTTCAAACACGAATTTCATTTGTTCGTAAAAAGTATTTTCATGAAATGCTTTTGGGAATCTGCTGCGCCATCAACTGAAAAATATTACCGCATAATAAATGTCCCTTTGGAGATAGAAATTTTTGGTAAATACAGCGTTCGTACGCACGACGCTGAATTATGCACGACGGCACATATCAGTTCTAGCCGCATCACCGTGACAGTTAAAAATCTTTTGGCCGCAATAACATTCATCCTTAATTTACGTTGCTGCACAAAGTAATTCGTTGGTGGCGATTCTGGAAAAGCCGGAAAAATAGAAGAGAAACGTGGCTTCTCTGATAAAATAGAGACGGGCGGAAATGATTTGCGCAGGAAGGGGTAATTTGTTTTCGGAAACACTTAAGCGAATGCATTCTGCCTCTACGCGAATGAGCTTAAGCCCTTTAACCGACCACTCACTCAACGCGGAGCTGGTAAACAGGAGGTTGAAGGCACTTTTCGATCGAAAAAGAGTTCCGCGCGCCGGTGCATCGCCAGCAATCGCCACTGCGTTTACGTGTCCAAAGTGTACGCCTGAAGTTTTTGCTTTTTCTTGCTCGCCAAGTTCTACGATAGAGTATTTCGTATTCCGCTTTTCGTCTCGCGTCGTTATTCAATTTTTTCATGGTGAACGATATTTGTTAGTATTTTTTTTGCAATTTAAAATGTTAAATACTGAAAATACACGTAATTAACAATTTTGTTATCATTTTACAAATGTGTAATTTTAAACCGCAAAAACATAAATTCTACATTATTTTTATTACATTCATTTTGTACTTTATGCGCAACAAAAGGACGAATATTTTATATACATCGTACATTTTATGGTTCGTTAATTGGCAATGACATTTGATACCTGACGTACGATGAGAGCTCCGATGTTGTGTAACCGGAGTTACATCCGCGAGTTAAGGTTATTATTACGCAGCAACTATTACGTATTCACGCGATGCACAGCTCAGGTTTTGGCGAGGGGAGATCCCATTAACCACGGTTTGGAACCCTGAATCCGAGCTCGCTGCAGCACTATACACAACGACGTGGTACGTCTCAGATTCCTCAACACGTGACTATTAATTCTCCAAAGCTAATTATCTGTAACACGAAATCCCTTATGCGAAAACTTAGTTTCTATTATGTCCAGCGCGTAATGTGCTTATAATCTCGTTGAGAACACGAGAAATAAATCGAGTTATTTCAAAGACGCGATAAAAATATTCGAATGCGATGAAAGGATCGATATTCAGACGGAAAAAAAAGGAAGAATACTGCGTTGAAATTTAAAGGGAATGATGAAATTATTTCACTTTCAAGATTTCTTCTTGAAATCCTCACGCTACGCAAAATTACCGTTTCAATTCATCCTCTCAAACGAAAATTGACAGAAAGACACTACGTCTTTCAAATTCATGCAAAAACCTTCCTCTCGGACCAGATTTCCGGGCTTTTCATTATTTACGTGCCAACAAGTAATCAGATTTGCGACAACTTGTTGCTTACCGGAAAGCGCGCGCGGAAAGGCGAAGTTCGAAGACACCAGGACGGAGAATCGTGTTAACGGACCGACAAGAGATACAAGGAGGCAAAGAAAGAGAGAGAGAGAGAGAGAGAAATCAGCCCCCGCGGCCATTAAATTAATCAGTCGCCCGACCCGGGAAAACTAGCGGACGGGCCCCAGGTCTTGCAGCTCTCTCTCCGTCATTCGCGGTCGTTTGTACACCCGCCGTCGCCGGTCGCATTTCCCTCGGTCGTCGTCGCTTCTACTTTCCGGAGACAACGGCGACGGAATAGGGTCAACGGGTAGAAAAACCAACGACGTAAACCCCTTCTGTACGACGACCGGTGGCGAGTCCGGCCACCGGGCTCGTATGCGAGAACCATAATTCGCGCCCGCGTGAGTTACTCCACCGGCCCCGGTAATGAAACATAATGAAATGTAAAGCAAAAAGGTTTTCAGTTACCCACCGTCGCTATGACTGCGGTTCACGGGGATTTAGATAGGAAGAGAGAGAAAGAGAGAGAGAGAGAGAGAATCGCTGTGTCGCGCGGTTAAATAATGCTCCCTCTTGCATCTCCGCAAGAACGTTCTGCGAAACTGCTCAACGGCTCGGCGTTCTCCGAGGTGCGCCCGGTCGTCGAGTCGGACGCCGAGAGCGAACTATAATTACGGATTTTTACGCAACGCGAGTCGCATATTGAGGACAGTCTCCTGTGAGATGCTCGTCGTATTTTCTCGCGCAAAAATAATTGAGTTCCCCGCGCAGGAAGGACTTAGCTTATAAGTCACTGCTCCACTTCTTCGTGTCGTACGGAAAAATAGAGTAAAACAACATAGGCGTACTTTTTGCAAGAGAAACCGTAAATCGTGTTGAGTGAATTATTTTATGGTTAACGAGAAATTGATACAAACGTTTTTCTTGTAATTTTATAATGCAGCAATTTTACTAGTATATCATTATATATATTTATCTTCGCACAATTAAAAATTTTAACAAACGATTGAATGTAAGTTACTGGAAAATAAAACTGCGAAACAAAATTATGTCTTTGAAGCACCGTGCAAAAGTAAATTTCTCCTATAATTGCAGCAAGTAGCAAAAACTATTTGTACAAAGGTAGAACAGTAGATAACGTCAAGTGAGGCGAATCGCGTCCCATTCGAATTCAGTTTCTCACAATCGCAGCGTCGTGATCAATACCGAATCGGAAACAACGAAAGTTCCGCAGTTACCTCGTGCCGGTGCTCAGAGAGATGTTTGACGGTGGATTTAAAGTTGCTAAAGTTTCACGCAAGGGATATAAATATTTCCCGTGTGCTTTTCATTAACTGTCCGTTTATGTTTTAGTCCCTCGTTAGGAAGAGTAGCGGCGCTGTGCGGAGCGCTCATCTCAAAAACCGAAACTTGTATTCGCGGGGAAAAAGTTGCTCCAAGTTTAATACTGTAAATAATTAACATTTCCCAGCGTAAAACTTAGCGTACTTATGCTACAAAAATATTCACGTTATTTTCATCTTTCGTGAATGGCCTAGTTGCTGCAATTTCTTATACGAAAATCGATTAGCATAGAACGTCAAACACATGCAATTTGTCAACAAAAATTATTCACCCCAATTTTTTCGTATTAAACATTTTTTCATACATAAATATTTTCCTACGTAAAATTAATATATATAATGTAAAGTAATCAGAAACGAAAAATTGGCCACGTATTCCACTCGGTAGTCGGGTACATTTCGTTAGATATTAAGTAGCCGCACGATGGGTCGTCAATTCCCGAATTCGCGTTGGAACGATTCCAGGGACGAGACTTCGTGGTGTCGAGTGGTCAACCGGAAAAGAGCCGGCAGAGAGCATCACCGCTGTGAAATTCCGACGACTCGCGACACGAGTGGTTGGCGTCGACCGATCGGAAGCGAATTCGGATGTGATTTGAATTTTGAGTACGCGTATCTGCATATGTAAACACAAAGCGCACCATTCCTCGCTCGCAGGATAGAATCGCGTGCGCGTGCAACGCGATTGTATCGCCGTTCGCCTAATCCTTCAAGGAGGAGAACAATCTTTGATCGGTAGATTACGGAATTTTTAAACGCCGCGAAATTTATGCGAGTCGCGAAGAACATACGTATGCGCGAGCAGGCGGCGGCTACGTGCTCGCTTTTACAACGGACATCTCTCACGATCGTTTCCGCGGCTGAAATGATAATTGGGAGATGTCCGTTCTCACCTTTCCTCGGTTAATGGATTCACTTAGGAAAGAAATCGGCACGTTCTTACGACGCGGCGCGCCGCGGTCGGAGGGGGCGTAATGGCGCGAACCCGGCGAACGTCGTCTTTTACACGGCCCTTTATCCGGCCTGCTGCGGTAATATCGCATTATCCTTTTGATTGCATCCATGTAAAAGAACCCCGAGACCCCCGCCCGCGCTCTGGGCTCTCGGTGGCCCCTGAATTATTCAGCAGTTACGCGGAGAACTACGCGTCCGCGTCGCCTTCTCTTCCCTCGCCGACACGCTTGCCGGATCAATCCTGTTTACCGCGCCGAAACCGGGTTACCAAAACGAATCTGCTTAACAACACAATTTTCATGCAGTGCACATAAATTTGAAGTCAATATTTTCCTTCGGAGCAAAGTCTTCCGGAAAAATGTAATTTTAAATAAAATTTTACAAAGTAAAATCCAGCGCGATGTTAACAAACAATTTTTGCTTCTCAAAATAATAAAAAGTTGAATTAAGCTTCGTTGTCCGCAGGTGTCATAATTAAATGGCGAAAGTAGATGAAACTTGTATTCCACTTTTTCTTCGCTATATTCGACCTCTGCGATTATGCGGGATGCGCTTACGCTTATAATCCTGATATTAAAGCGATATTTTTCTACCAGCGGCTATATTAGACGATCGCGCGCGCGCTCGCGCAAGACATGATGAATTGTTATCCTGCTTTATTCTATTTCAGGCCGTCCGCCGATAAGAGATGAGCTTTACATTTTCCCCGACATATCGCGTAGCAACGGTAGAAATTACAGCTCGAAGTAGCTGCATTTGTAAGTCGTTTTGCAACTTTATCCTTCCCCGACGTTTTCTTCCGCGAAACACTTTAAAAGTTTCACGTTTCCTTTTAATATTTTCGCGCACGCTGGGGAAAACTGTCGGATGTAACGCGCGCGCGTCAGATTCCTCATCGCGCGCGCATTTCGGTTACGGGCGTCCCAAGTATGCAACATATACACGCGCGCGTGAAACATATGTCGCGTACCGCGCGCGCGGCGGAGAATAATAGCGCTCGTCGGCACGATGGCGATTTTTTCATCATTCCCTTTTTTCTTCATCACGTGTCCGCAGATGTCCCGTGGCACGTGGCACCGGTGGTCGGTGCTCTTGCTGCTCCTGCTGGCCACGCGTTCCTCTCCGTGCACAGCCAGTGCGGATCGTACGCCCAGGACCGGCAGGAGAAGCAGGACAAGCAGGACAAGCTGGCGCTCTACAAGATCACCCTAAGGACCTACTGGTCCAGGGCGCGTTTCCCGCGACATTATCCGGAGTGGAAGCCGCCGGCGCAGTTCGGCAAACTCATCGGTGAGTAGCGCATGCATCTGTGTTCAACAAGCTTCGCAAGGAATAAGAAACTTTGATCCTAGAATGGTACTCGTCATTATTCAAGACAGTTTTTCATCCTGCAATTTCTTCTCCATTGTATATTGATGAAATACATATCAATTTTTTTTATTAATAAAATACAAAACGATATAAGTACGCAGAGGAAAGTACGAGAATCAATCTGGAATTAAAGTCACAGTGGTGGATTATATTTAGCGAACGGATCAAAAGTTTTAAACTTTAATTTGTAGGATTTACACATAAAAGAAGTCTCAAACGACCTTAAAAGCTGTTTTTCTGCCGACAGTTATACTTAATTCATAAATCGGTGTCCCATTAGCGACGAGATTTAGCTCCGGCTAGCATGAAAATTGAAATGCAAAATAGCGCGTTAGAGTGTACGTCGCTCTTTACGTTTTAATACAGTTTTAATCGAACCCGGCGTCATGGAAATCAGATTAAATCGTTCCCGAAGCGATTCGAATCCCGTCGATCGGGAACGCAATAAAAGAGCTGAGATCCGCTGAATTCTTCTAATTATTTCGACATCTACGCTGTCCATGAGTAACGCGATCATCCGCGGGTGAGCAGCGTCACCTTAATGAGATCCGTCGATGCTTTCTCGTTGGCTGCACTATCGATTCCCCGTGGCGGCGGATTCTACCGCGCGCGTCACCGCCGAAACTTTAATTCGATCAAATCCCTCCAGGTCTCCGTGCGCGATTCACAGCGAATACTTATTTCTCTTGGCGGTTTGCGGGCGCCCGGCCGCGCGCGCGGTACGGGCAACGTCAGTCGCAGCCTTATTCTCGAGGTTTATTCTCTTCGACCTCCTTTTCGTGGCAGCGTGCGGGGGATAAAACGATAATTGGAGAAGTTGGGAATTATCGCATGACGCCGCTGGGCGTTCGCAGTCGTCCGCGCCTGACGCGAATTCGAGATGTCCTCGCGCGTGCACGGATGCCTCCAAAGTGACGACAGAGTGTGTATATACCGGGTGCTCCAGAACTACCGAATCAATTTTTATTTTCACAACATTCTTGTATTTGGTTAGAGATCATTGTTTATCCAAAACTTTTCACACTGTATTCGCGATGATTGAACGTTGCGATACAATAATTCTCTCGCTAAGAGTATAAACTGATCGCGAATTGATGGGAGGGGTCTGGGGTGTTAATCGAGCCCGGTCGGGACACCCTGTATACACACGAACAGGTGTCGTAAGTCTTCGTCGGTCCATAAATCCCTCGCAACCCCTCTCGCCACCAGTTAGTCTCCATAGTTTCGCGCTTTCGGTTGGTGTCTGTGGTCGCGACCCTTCGTTCTCGCTTCGTCTCTCCGTCGACCGTTTCCCCGCGCCTCCCCTCACCGCCTGGCACCAGCCGCTCCTTTCTTCCGTCGCGAAGTCGAATAAATCCCGCCGTTAGACCTGATCCGGCCGTTTTGCCGAATGTACGAGCGTTCCGCGAGAAACCTCAAATTCGAATTAGAAAGCCGCGCGCGCCGCCGCCGAAATTCAATTTCACGACTCCGGCGAAGTCGAGAAACCGCGATCGGGTAGCGCGATATGAGGAGAATCCCGGGTTCTCCGACCTCGCGGCATTTTGCCCTTTTGTCGAATCGTTTTCGTAATTCAGAATTTCGCGACTCAGAATTACTTTCCGAAATATCTCGCATCTCTTGATGCGTTGCGATTCAATCTCGAAATTAATGACAATTATATTTTTGCGCATGATAAAATGAATAATAAAAAGAATGTTATTCTTCGATAACAATAAATATTATACTTTTATAAGCGAAAGAACACGACAACAAATGCTACATTTTGTTCCGCGTTCACATAATCGGAGATTCGTGGATTGCTTTTCTCCTGGTTTGAAAATTTTTCTCTTTCGTCGCTTAATAAATATGTACTGTTAAATTATTCAAATAAATTCTATTTACCTACTTTAATTGAGATCCGTGAGAGTTTTTTCTCGGCTGATAGCTATATTGCCGGAGTGAATTTCGTAAGAATGCAATTTCGCGATCGAAGACGAGATGAGACGCAACGCGAGAAATCGGGAAAATTCGTAGATCGGCTCCGGAAAAAGAATCGAACGATGGTTAAATAAAAGATCCAGAGGGATGAGTCTTTTTTTCGCGCGATTCGAAGGGGCCACGCGAAGTGGGCTCGAAACCGAGCGGAGCGGAACAAAAGCGGCGACAAAACGTAATCGAAAATCCTTTACGCCGTCTCGGGGAGAAATCGCGGGAGGAAGAGCGGGACTTCGACAGTGGTGATTCGGGCGGGTGGAGACGCAGAGGGCGGGAGGATGGCGATAGGTTTCTCTGTGCATTCCGCAGGATCTCCACGGAAGACCGCTCCGTGGATATATCCTGCGTGCACACGGACGAGCGAACACGTTCGATCGTTAACGGCCGACTAATGGAATGGAATTCGCATCCCTCCGTATATATACACCCCCGTCGCTTCCGCCATTCCTTCAGCTACGCGGCCAAATCGTAAAATTGTTGCCGCACGCCGCCGTTGTTTTCCTTTCATGGCTCCGGCTATGGTCGATTAAATTCGCTTCTTTTTTTCCGCTCTCCTTGCTCTGTATTTTCTTTCCGCCCCCCTTCGATCATCGCTCCCTTTATCGCCGTTCTTAAATTCCGAATTTAAGTGAAAGCACCTGCAGCGGAATCACGCGCGGCTGTGTTTTCTTAAACGTGATCGAATCTAAATATATGACGTATTATGTTTTTTTATATATTTTATAAATATAGAGAGATAAATATCTCGGGTAAAAATAGACAGATTCCTCAGGTGATATAATATTTTGATTCAATCAGAGTAAGATAAAATATTTTTACTCAATTATCCAACAATAAGAATGAAGAAAAAAAAACCAACAATAATATTGCATACTTTGCACGGAAAAAATCTGCAACTGTGGGAAAGTATATACATTTTTCATCATATTCTACGTAATTAATATCATTAAATCATTCTGTAAGAAATGGATCCTTCGGTGCGCATTATATGTATACGCGAGAAGTGACACGGAAAGTAACCTCTAATTAAAACGAGAGTCAAGGATGAGCACATTGACGCGACCATAATTGAATCGAGTCGGAATAAATACGCATTTTGCTCAGTTACGAGCTCGCAACTTCGCGTATCCACGAGGAACAAAGGGGCGCGCTGTTACCGCGCGCGTATCTGCAAAGTAAACACGATAATAATAGCGTCGCTAATGCACGGTAGACGCTACGCTAATGGCGAACAAATATCTTTTTCAGGGGCAAAGCGAATTACATCAGATAACAGAGGAAAATCTTATCAACGTCTTTGTACAAAGTGCGGAAATATGAAATATTTTCTAAGAGATGTAAAACAATCGCGATACTTGGAATGTTCTAATTAAATCGCAAATTTAATTTCGCGCTTAAAAATGTATTCAATAATGCAATCGTTTCGCTTTGTTAAATTATACCTCCCCCCCTCCCCCACCCCTCCCTCCCTCAAAGAAAAGAAAATTATAACAGAAAATATATAGCAAAAATATATTATTGTTCTGCAATAATTGCATTCTTTTAACAGACTGCATTTATGCAACAGCTTTTTCATTAAAAAGATGCGAAGTACATATTGCACGAGCACCGTCAATGTATCCACGCCGCAATCGTTCCATTGCGATAAATTATTTCCGCACAACGAGCGTCGTGCGTGATCGATATTCAGTATTTTTTTTTTCTTTTATACGAGCGGCGGGATTATTACGGCAATATGTTTTCCATAATATGTTTTCCGTCGCCACTTTTATTCGGCGTCGGTGATACACGCCGAAAGTTCGGGCTATTTGAGGGAGAGGGTCGTTTCGAAGCCATCGGTAAGCCAAAAGGCACTCAGCTGTATGCGAAAGTTTGCCTATTCCCGTATGCTAATAGATCCCGTCGTGGCGACGGCAAAAGAATTATCTGCCTCGTCACCGACGAGGTTCGCCGGGCCGATGACTGAGCGCGGGATAAACACCGTTTAAGATATCCTGTGTACTGTTCCCGCGAACGTGCCTCGACTGCGGAGGTGCGTTCACGCGGATACTCAATCCATCTTTGAGCCTCTCTCGGCTGAGTCTCTTTGGACGTTCGAGAGCGTCTCTTCCCTCCCGTAGCATGAATCATCATCCAGCGCGACATAGGGCGACCCAAAAATATCTCCGGTAAACGCCGGCTCGCGACGCGAATGCGCCTGACTGCGCTAGGATAGATTCACTAATGACCACTTATGCATTTTCACAAATAACCGCCTGCATTTATAATCAACTAAGAATTCAATTACTAAAAAATTATGTTTCTACATTGAAAAAATGCATAAATTATATTGCCACTATAAGGTAATATATAATATTAATATGTAAAATATTGTCTTTTAAAACGATCGATTTACCAATATAACGATCGATAATTAGCTGTTGACTAAGCTGCTGCTACTCTATTAACTGTCGGGGCAAAAATCTTGATGCCGCGACGAAAGCTCATATGCAATCCACTATCGTACCCGCGAAAATCTGATCACGAGAGCGAGCGCAAGAGGATGTCCAATATAACTTTATGCGCGCGCGACGTACACAATACACTGTAGATTTCTCGGTGCAAGTTCCGTTTAGACACCGCCGGCAGAATGCCTTGGAACTTCGCCGGAGGTAAAGCAGACTTCGCCAGACGCGGAACGGGGCCACATACGCCACGGTAGCGCGAAGTAAGATCGAGGATAAAGTTGCCGCGAATGACGCTTGTATACATTACGCGCGCGCTCGCGGACGCTAATTTCGCGCGAAACTTTGCGGAACTTACGGAATATAACGTTCGTCTCTGCCTCCAAAGCACTTTTTTCTCTTTCGTCAGCCGACATTTTCGCTTTAACGAGATACTCGACTTGGTGATACAACAAGAATCTAAGAAAATAAATGTAAAAAAGTAACTTAAAAAGATTC